AAAGGTGGTAATATATAGGAGGAAGATTGCATATAAGGATACAGTACCGGAATATCGAATTAGTTGGTAGAAAGAAAGATATGAAGCGATTTTAATCTCATAGTTTAAGGGAAGACAGGGAGTGTATGCACCGACGCCATTGTGATCGATTCTGAGCCATGTCACCAAGAGTCTCCAACCATTGGTTACGATAGTCACGCGGACCCCAACCAAGTAGTCTGCACCTACCAACATGGCTCAGACTAGAGGTTACTGTCTTCAAGCACTGATGCCACGTTTTGGTTTGGCAGCCCCTAACTTTCTTCCAACCATCTCCAATACCGGTTAGCATTGCACGTCGTGGTAATCGGTGTTCAGGAATACGTAACACGTGGTCCAACCATCTCAGTCGATGAAGATTAACAACCTCATCAACTGATTTACCATCATTCCCTAATACCCTGAGTCTAACCTCACTATTACTTACCCGGTGATCCCAACAGACGCCAGCAATATTTCTAAGGCATCTGTGGTCAAATACTAGTAGCTTACGAGTATCTTCAACTCTTAATGACCACGTTTCGCAGCAGTAAAGTAAGACAGAACGGACTGCCACGCAGTATACCCGTCCTTTTATTGATAGACGAATATCTCGCCTTCGCCAAAGGTGATGTAAGTTGGCAAAAGCCAAACGAGCTTTTCGAATCCGCGCTGAGATTTCGTCCGATACCAGCCCATTGGGGCTGATCAGACTTCCAAGATAAGTGAAGTTGTTGACGCGTTCGACCACTTCACTCCCTATCCTTAGTTCAGGTATTGACGAAGACCAGTCCTGAAACAACAACTTGCATTTAAAGGGAGAGAAGCGCATTCCAAACATTCTGGCATTGTTGCTTAGCGCTAACAAAAGACTCTTCATTTTATCAGCGTCTTCACCAAACAGGACTATGTCATCTGCGTATTCTAAGTCGATAAGTGAACCTCCTGGTAAGAGATCAATACCCGATGATTCAGTCAACGAGAGTGTTATTTCCATCAATAGGTCTATGATGAAGTTAAACAAAAATGGAGAAAGTGGTCAGCCTTGACGGACACCACTTGAGGTTGCAAAAGTAGATGACAGTTCGCCATAAGCCCTGACTCGACTATTAGTGTTCGAGTAAAGAGCCTTCACAAGGTTTATGTACTTCTGGGGTACGCCTTTCAATGACAGACACTGCCACAGAATCTTGCGGTCTACCGAGTCAAATTCTGCTTTTAAGTCAAGAAAGACCACCATTGTCGGACGCCGATAAGTATGCCTGTTTTCTAGAACCTGACGAATGGTGAATATGTGGTCGATGCAGCTACGACAGGTCTGAAGCCAGTTTGGTTTTCTCGTGCTTCCAATTCACGAGTCTTAGTTAGGCGTCTGATTATTATTGAGGCTAGTATTTTAGATACTATATTTGTTAAACTAATCCCTCTGTGGTTGTCACAAGATGATTTTGATCCTTTGTTATATATTGGGACGATAAGTGATTGCGACCAGTCAGATGGAATAACATCTCACTCCCAGATTTTAGCTAAAATATTAGTCAACCTAATTGCTAAGATCGGACCATCATCCTTAAAGATCTCTGGAGCCAATACATCTGGACCAGCTGCCCTTCCTCGTTTCAGATTAACTATAGCCTTCTCAACTTCAGCAAGAGTTGGGGGACCTACTTCAATGTTCCATTCACATTGTTTGGGAATGGAGGGTAGTTGTAGAGTCGCTGAAGTGTTCCCTGAAGTGTTCCGCCCATCGTTCTAAACGTCTGGACTGGGAGCAGATGGGAGTGTCGTCTTTTTCCGAAATAGTCTGACTTACACTTGACTTATTAATCCGTTTCTTTTATTAGTCTGTAGAGCTGTCTTGTGTTCCCTATAGCCGCCGACTTTTCCATCTCTTTTGATTTCGTTGCCCACCACTGTTCACGGTCGTTCCTTAGACTTTTTCCTAACCTAGATCTGATTTGTTTTCGCTCTTCATCATGTTCAGAGCCTGATGGGGTGAGTTTACGAGAACCCATCAGTGCAATAGACCTTGGAGAAATCCACTGGCTCCTTGTAACTGTGGTTTAAGTCCCTAATAGATGTCATTGCTGTTTCCACAGCTGTTTGTATATCTTTCCAAGCAACATCTGGGTCAGCCTCGTTTTCAGAACTACCTAAGTGTGACCTCAGTTGTTCCTGGAACTTACTTTTGGTTTTCTCGTTACTCAACTCAGTTCTAATGGGTCTTTTTTGCGTCCAGTGAGGCGCAAGCAGATGCGTGCCCGTATTAGGGCATGGTCGGAGTCCAAGCAGGTACTTCAGAATGAGTGACAATCTTCTACCGACCCTCTCCAACGATGACTGATGGCAATATGGTCTATTTGAGTCCATCGTTTGTTTGGTGTAGGGGGTCGCCATGTTAGACGATATCTTTCCTTATGCTTAAAATTTGTGTTTGCTAAAAATAAATGATTGTCTGAGTATAGTCGCAGCAGATGATCACCATTATCTGTTCGCTGTGTCAGAATAATAAAATATCCCCCTAAATGCCTTTCTGTTTGGTTTAAGCTACCTATCTGAGTATTAAAGTCACCCCCTAAGAGTATTATATCTGAGCGTTTAGCTTTCTGAAGAAGTTCAGAGAGCTTTCTGTAAAATTCATCTTTCATTTCATCTGAGCTGCAGTCAGTGGGAGCGTAGGCAGAAACGACAAAAAGGCAACGATGTGTATCCCTATCCTTCCGAGTTCTTACGGAGCAGTTTGGCCGGACAGTACATAGACGACTGTCAACGGGGATCCACTCTAACAGTGCTTGTTCCGCCCTCATGCTTAGTGCTATCCCTACTCCTGCCAGTCCACGAGAGTTGGCCATCGGGTCACCAGATACACGGAGGGTGTATCTCGTTCGCTCTCCGTTTTGCCGAGGTGCCGTCAAGTAAATGACAACACTGGGATCCTGTATGCGTGTTTCGGAGACACAGCATACATCAATGGTACGAGATTCTAGGGTTTTAGCCAAGGAAGCCTGCTGACCGATTTGACATAGGGTGCGTACATTGAAGGCTCCAATGTGTAGTGTGGAGCGAGGTTTCAGTAGACCTGGGACAGTGTTTTGAGCACTAGAATCGTTGACTATGGTGACACTTGAGGAGGAAGCCGAAAAAAGAAGTCTAGAGTTTGAAGTTGATGTAGGAGGAATAATAGGAAGTGAAGAGGGAGGTTGATTATGAATCCAGTGGTCTTGAGTGCTGTTAGAGGTATGAGGGCGGTTATCACTTCCCGGTTGCCCACACCGTGGAAGGGTTCTTCTGGAGGTACCTGAAAAGGAAATCGGATTAGAAGTGGTTTTAGTGACCTGGGAACGTGACCGCAGTGCCCAAGGGACAACTGCTTGAGGTCGGTCACGCACGACCTTTTCATGGGCAATTTTTGTGTTAGCTCCGTACTTGTTGAGACCTTACCGCCGGAGACGGATATCCGTGGGATAAGGCGAGGTGTGCATTTGTAGGGTCGACCTTTTCTAACCCCACCCCTCCTTGTGGGAAGGCAGCATCGCTGTCATGCTGGTTGTCTGAAGGAAACACCTTACTGCTGTCACACCTCTGTACAGTCAGCAGTACGACTTCGCCTTCGGACCCTGGGTTTGTTGCTTTTAGTCTTACCGCTCTTCAACCGACCTTTCTGACGTGGTAGGACCTTGAGGAACGGTTGTTCCAGTCAGTATAGCTCGGTTGCTTCATCACGATAGGCAAGCGCGACCACCACGTCAAGGTAGCAACAACGGTCGGGGGACCAATACTAAACGTATATTTCTACTGTATGATTACTAAGTAACTAAACTATTCAGCTTATAAGCTTTATTTTGACCCATAAAGTATTATTATACGTTTAACAATTCTTGAGCTATACCCAGCATATTAATTACTACCTCTCTCATTTACAGCCACATCTGGTTAACTCTTGTACATATGTTGTTTAATATTTTATTGGTACGTTGTGGTTTGCTCGGTTGGTATATAAACTCAGTGTGTTTGAAATACAATGATTCATATCGCAGAGGCTCGGATTGGTGTTCTGGACTTAACTGGCTGGGATAGGCGGGAAGCAGGATCAATCAGGACTCTAGGCTGTTCGCACGTGTTTTACGCGTCCGATTCATAATTCACTGCTCTCTAATCGGCGGTCACAAGTTATAACAAACGGCATTAGCAACATATCATTGGAAGTTTATTTTCAAAATATTTAATTCGGTGAACGGAAAAACTGTGGCATGACATGGATCACTTTCATCATAAGTGGATGAAAAGTAGAGGTCCCCTAAATACGGCATAAACTGTTGATCAGAGAGCTAAGAGATGAGTCGAAATATTCATCATGCGAACTTAACTGAAAAAGCATGTACAAAAAACAAAAACTTAAGAGACGTTGACCATCAAGGTTCAAATTTCTAACCAGATTTTCTCCTGTTGAGTTGCCTCTTCAATTAGTTACTAAATTTTAAATTATACAGATGGAAATAACATCACCCAAGACGCTGCAGAACAGTGTAGAAACGTTGGAATTCTCGATGGAATTAAGACGAAGTGACTTTTTGTTACATACTCATAACGAGAAATACAGAATTTAATTTCGATTTATTATTTATAGCTCACCTAATGATGATGATTCTTTTAATTTTATCACTCTAAAGAATATTAATAACAGTGATATGCAATGATAAGCTAAGTGGGCATCAGTAGAATATTCCTAATGAAATAATTTCACATTTATTGTTATACATGTGAAGACACTATGGTCAACAGCTAGCTGATAACCTTAACCTCGAATAATTTTGACGTGAAGAGCTTCTAAAATAGCCTTATATGTTTGTTATAAACGAAGTTTAAAATGAATTACATACACCATAGTCAATGCGCATTTATATTTCAAATGGCTCTCATATAGTATATATACACGCATATATATATATATATATATATATATATATATATATATATATATATATATATATATATATATATATAAATCAAGATAAGTCTGTATTGGAAAACTCTGGAAAAATAACTGGTTTCATATTAGTAACAATTGTTAATTCGACATTTAAACGACCATTCAGTTCTGAGTCCTCATCATTGCATTGATTCAATTCGGTCAAATCGAGTTTATTCAACAATAACTTCATAGACTTGGCAATAACAGGTAAATTAGGTAAAGAAAGTTGCAATTTATTCCAATACCATTTTCGCATATTCCATGCACCTAAAACTTGGAAACTGAAATAAAACATGACGAACAATAAAATGAGTTGTTAGAAAAGATCCACTTCAAAAAGTATTTGATTTTTTTAGATGGAGAATAAGTTTTAAAACTATTAACTTATAGCTCGAATTCCAAGCATTTTAACAGATCTCATTATCACTTTAAGTACCCTAATGTTATGCCCCGATAAGCATAATGGATGGTAACTTTTCGGATCCATTTATGGACCAGTACTATGCGTATATTTTTATCGTATAGCTGTTAAATAACTAAACTATTCATATTTATGTCCCTCTTATTATGAGCCTTATTTTGATCTATTATTATACGATTAATTACTACCTCCCACATTTGGCCAAATTTTGTATGTGTTGTTTCCTATTTTATTGGTACGATGTAGTCTGTCTGGTTGGTATATAAACTGAGTATGTTTGAAATAAATGATTCATATTGTAGAGGCTGAGATTGGTGTTCTGGACTTCACTGGCTGGGTTAAGCAGGAAGTAGGACCGATAAGTACTCTAGACTGCTCGTACGGATTTTATGTGTCATTGGTCCGATCGATAATTCACTGCGGCATCATTACGTTATACATTAACAAAGCACACATGTCACAAGTTATAACACCTAATTTCAGTAATCCTTTAATATCACTAGACCTCACTGAAAATGCCGCTTGGATTCGAGAACCTGAACAAGATCATTGAATTACTACTTTATTACATACAGGAAAATGAGATTTCTTGCTTTTCAGCTGGAACTGAGAACAAACATTCGTGAGAACCTTTAGAAAAATCCTTTAACTTTTCAACTAGGAAAATTTTTCCACGTAACAAAATCCAAGTCAGCAGATGGGAATAATTTTATAGACGTTGCAAACCAGCATCACACAATTAATCCCAACGATAACGAATACTGCCCGTAATAAATTTTCAGTTGTTTAAACTGTTGGATGATAGTTTTATAAATAAGAAAAAATTGGTATTGTAAATGCAAAAATCTGTTTTTAGATCGAACAGGTGTTTCTGGAATGATTTTCAGTAAAAACTTTTAACTAATAAATGCCAGTAATTTAAAATTCTCCTTCCTTATCAAGCACTATTTTAAGTGGCAGTATGTCAGCTTATGGATAAAATTGCATACAACTGGACTGTTTTATTTTATTAAAATCCATGAATTATAATTTAATTAACTCACTTTGTTTTGCCGATGCATAATATACTTTTCCGTAAGAGGCGCCAAGGTTCGTGGTACACAGCCCAAGATGGGTGATCAAGCAGTAAAAATGATAGATCCAATGCATCAGAAAATCTTCCTACGAAATTCATTATAAACAACATTGTGTTAAGTAATTTGTAGGTAGTACAACACAAAAAAAGTAAGATAAAACCTTGACATCTGATCTTCACATACAACTGGTAAAATTAACAGGATATGAGGAAAGATTGTATTTAGCAGTCATAACATTGGTGGACTAAAGAATGCTAAAAATATGACATGAAAAGTATTCCGTTTCTAATTTATATTCGTAATGAAGATCTTCAAAACAATTTAAAAAACAAAACAAACAGTTTGAGCATTTTTACTAATCTACAATCAAAACCCATCAATAAAATAAAACTACAGTAGTCAAGGTTTTTATTCAAATAATTGATAAACAGTGAATTTAGAAACGTTCTTTCAGTCTATATTAAATAAACAATGAACTTTATAAAATGAAGTATAAAATTATACATAATTTTTCGACTGATAATGATGAAGTACTGAGATTAAAGAACATTTCACTGGTGTAACGAAGACTAATTGGACATCGTTAACGTAGGAGACAGTTTTATTTAATCTCTTGGAATTGTAGAAGATAAAAAGAGAACGATATAACATCAAATTAAAATAAAACTGCAGTGAATTTTTTTAATCGTCCAATTTATAGTAGTCATTTATGATTAATGGTTGTTGGACAGATAAAGAATGTAATAAAAAAACTACCTACGACCAAAAGTGATCATTAATTCTATAGGTCAACTTAATTTCCCTAAACCTCACAATTGTCCTTAGTACTCCTCAAACCCAGGCCCTAGGAAAACAGTAGAAGCTGCTAATCTATGAAAATGATCAGGTGTTAGATGTTTCTAATGTGAATCGTAAAATGTAACATGCAGAAAGAGAAATCGAGAACATCTACAGGTATACCTAGCACTTAATCCATAATTGTAAAAATAGTTAGCGTGCTACATTGATTGTACAAAAACCACTCACGGATCCAGAAACCTGGCAAATATGTACTTGCTGAATATTGATATAATTGAAAAGAAACAGTTTGCAGTGTTTGTATTTTACAGATCAAATTTCAGAACCATGCTATTTTCTAACAACGCAAATAACGTTTTGTTATAAATTTGCTATAACTGACTACGTATTTAACTATTTAATATGCTCACATGCTCTTAAAAAAGCTCAAGACCTTTTATGAAGCTAAATAGTGTAAAATCCGAGAACTACCGCATAGGTCGGTGTATTTTTCACCTCATCTGATATTTGGAGAAGGAATAAGTGACTGAAATACAACTCAGAAATCAAATATATCATACAGGTAAAAAAAGGTTATGGAAAAACAAAGCTGGTCAAAAATGTTTGTAATGGAAGATGAGTGGAAGATTACGACTGTTGAAAAACCTTTTTATGCATATTTTGGAATATTCACGAGCTAAGTGAATATAAGACAGCAATTAGTCGATTATTTTGGATCGACTATTATCTGCTACATACAATTAAATTGTAGTGCCAGTCATTATTTTAAGCCCATAATATACCTTATTCCAGCTTTCAGACATCACATTTCATTCATTCTACTTGAGCCATACTTTGACCTTGTTAATTATTCGCTTATCACTATTCCCTGTTTTTATATGAGCGCATATGTGTGTACACTTCCCATTCCATTTATCACATGTCTGTAGCCTATTTTTGTCTGCCTATAAGTATTGATTAACGTCTGACTAAAAATGAGTTGGCTTACCAGCCACCTCCACTCTGCGTCGCTTCTCTTCCTTCTATTCCATTCACCTCACATACAAAATATATGTATTCAAAATCCCATTCTCGTTATTTGACTTATTTAATTCCGTTATTGGCTAACGTGATTTAAGTCGACGGTTATATACGAGAATAGGCGATAAAAAACATTCGTACGATGTAAATAGAAGTCAGATTCACGGGCCACTAAAAAATACACAGTATTAAAGAGATTATTATCATCAAGAAACGTTACTTTATCAAAAATTGTCGATAAGCTCTGAACGCAAACACTAAATAGAGGTTCATAAATTAGACTTTGAGGCACATTTGCTGTATAAAAATACTCTAATTAAATGGCTAGACTACAGTTCAAAGGTTGTCACACCAAATCCCAGAATCGTAGAGGTAATAAGAAAGAAGATCGACGATACAACTCCGAAATAAAATAGAAATTAACGAAATAAACAGTTATGAGGAATTTAGAATATTAGAATTTGGGGGAAGACAAAGAATGGATGCACATGGGCCATTGCAAACGATTTTGATTTATGTCATCAAAAACCTCTAACCATTGGCTACGATAATCACGCGCACCCCAACCAGGTGGTCTACACTTAATAACTTGGGTAAGTCCAATTTCCAGTGTCTACATAGTCTGATGCCATTTTTTGACTAATCCGGTCAGCCTACTCCTAAACCAGAAAACAACGCACATCGAGGTAGGCGGTGGTTGAAGACACGCAACACATCTCCCAACCATCTCGGTTGATGAAGATTTACTACCTTATCAATCGACCTAACTTCTTTGCCTTATACTCTATTACTAACCCAAGCATTGTTTACTATACTCCCAAAATACACGAGCAGTGCCTCGTCGAAACCTATAACAGAATACCAATAACGTACGAATATCCTCTACTATTAATAGCCATGTTTTACATCCATGAAGTAGAAAGGGGAGAACCACTGCGAAGTAAACTCTCTTTCGTCAGAAGACGCATATCTCACCTACACCACAAGTGACACTAATATTTTAGATACTATATTAAACTGGTTCCTCTGAGATTGTTACAAGAGAATTTTTGTCCTTTCTTATAAACTGGGACGATCAGTGATCGAAACCAGTTAGATGGGATTACGTCCAGTTACCAGATTTTAACTAAGATTTCAATTAGTGGAACTGCTAAAACTGGACCACCAACCTTAAAAATCTCGGGTGTTAGTCAATTAGGCCCTGATGCTATCCATCACTTAGATTACCAATAACCTTATCAATCTGATTAAGATTTCAAGGACTTACATCAGTTTGCCTTCAGGTTACTTAGAGATAGCAGGTAACTGAATTGCCTCTCAGAGCCATTCCCTTAGTGTTTTGCCAATCGGTTCAATCTCCTGGATCGAGAGTGGATAATAGTCCTGCCGGATTTTTAATACAAGTTTCTTTGATAAGTCTGAACAGTCGTCTATTGTTACCCATCGCTTTTGCTACCCATCACTACTCACGATCATTAGGTGGGCTTTTTATAAACCTACATCTAAGCTGCCTTCGCTCCAAATCATATTCAGAACCAGATGGGATGAGTTTCCAAGCATCTGTCAGGTCTGTAAACGGAGCTGAAGTCCATTGATTTTTCCTAAATTTGTGGTTTACGTTTCTACGGTCATACGACTTACGTTCAGGGTGATCTAGAGGAAGCAAAAAACCAATACGCCGTCAACTACATATATCGTTTTGAAGTATTCCGAGAACTATCTTAACATCTTATGGAATTTCACAGGAGATTCTATTTTGAATACGAATAAAAATTTATATTGATTATATAAGCATTGTAAGTTGCTAGGAAAATATCACAGAGAAAGAACAGATATTTGATCAACTTACCACGTTTTAAACAAGAAATTATAGTTGGTAAATGGCTATGACTTCTCCTTAATAAACTTTTTACTTCTTTTTTCGACATAGATTCATAATTATCAGGTAGGTTCGGAGCTGGTTCAGGTAATGTACGCCTGCTAAATGATATACGATATTCTAAATAGATTTTTGAATTCTTCAAACTTTTGGGTGATTTCTTCTGATGGGAGGTATGCGTTTGTGTAGTTTCATCAACAGTTGTATTACTTTCACTTAGATCTAAACTACATGCTGAGGAATCATGACAGTTTTGGGTTATTGGATGAGATGGAGACAAAACTGCTGATGAATGAGTAATTGGTGCAGGTTGACGTTTATGCCATTCGCATAGATATCTTAAAGTGTTTGGGTTTTCAGGTACTTTTTGAGCATAACTAAGTAGTAAGGCATGTGCACGTGTACATTCATTAAAATATTGCAGTATCTACGAGTACAAAAGAAATTAAACAAGCAATAGTAAATTGGTTCATATTAGATATGAATTGAAGACAATGAGGATTAAATGGAAATATTGACTGATAATTGGTTATTCAAAACTATTCAAATATGAACTGAGATATATTCATTTAAATATAGGACAATAAAAGGAAAATTACTTCAACAAATGCTCTGACAAAGGTGTCGCACAAATGACCCTCAGAAACGAGAGCTTCAACTTCTTGTAATCGATGGTAAGCTTTCTCAGCTAAATTATCGGCTGTCATATGAATATCATCGGGATCACCTAAAAATAAGATCAAAAGTAACGAAGCCAGATTAAATTATACGGTTATAATGGATTGGAAATGGTCAACTTCGTGATGAAGAAGACGGTTATACTTAAAATTCAGTGTAATGGAATGTGTCATATATTTTACACAGATACTTAATTTACCTGGGTTACAGTTTCAGCACATTTAAAATTTTATAAAAATTGTGGTCGGAAATATTATTCCGTCTTAAATCAGAGTTGTCAATCGTACTGCACAGTATTTTTTCGCTTAAAAATTGAACAGGAAAGAAAACTAACAGTTATTCGTTAGCAAAAATTTAAAAGGTTGAGTAAACCTGACAAAATTTGGCTTTCAAATATTTACTGGGAGACAGGTATTTTTTGGTCTTAATGGTTCTTCTAAACAGACGATAGATAGTGTTTCAGAACTTACTAGCTGATACTAATGAATTAATTTGTTTAAGCCACATTCCATAAAAGCTGTAACCTTCATAGAGTCTTTGTAATCGCTGAACATGTGCAAATTCTGGCTCTCTAGTCAAAACTGTATGAAGACTTGCATATTTATTTCGTTGAACAGGCTGTAACAAAAAAAAGGGAATAACAAGTACTTTTAGCAACATAATGTTTATACTGAAATATTCGTTTATGAAAGCAGTTTCACTCGTGAATGACTAATTTTTTATCGTATAATTTCCTATTTTTATTTGGTTAATTGCAAGCTGATTTTTTGTTAGTTGATACATCTTTTAAATGTTCGACGATAGCCATATGGTTATCCAGGAAAACAAAGAGGACTGTCTAACAATATGCCTGTTTCTTAATAGGGATTCAGATATCTTGTCAAAACCAGGAAAACAACTGAATTAAGTTTCACACTTCGATGTTCTGTTGCTGATGAGATTCCAGAAACAGATGAGAGAACAATTTTAGGAAGTTGAAATCAAAGAGTTTTCCCTTTCCAAGCTTTAATTAAGGGTTAAAACTCTGGAAACTTAAGAACTATGTTAGTCAAAAGGTTTCTGTTGTGATTACTCGGAAACTATTTTTGCTCTTTTTTGTTTACTAAGATGATAAGCTGTCAAGACCACTGAAAATATATTGTTAAATATCTAAAGGTCAGCCCATGCTCTGTTTGTTTGTAAAACATTTAGGAAATGAATCTTTAAGAACTTTCCATTTAATTCATTTTCAGCTTGCTATAGAATAATGAACTGCAGTAAAAAATATATAAACGATTTCATTGTCTCATTCTGGTTATAGCTGGATAGTGGTTGAAAGGAAAGCGGCTGAAGAGCAGTTGTCATATCCTCTGAAATGTTATGTCAATTGTTGCAACCTGTTGCTCATAAAATGCATTACTGACATAATTATTTCGCCAAACATTTATTAATCGGCTTTAACGATAACACATCCCATCAAAGTGAGATAATGATTGGCCAATGACGGAAGATAGATATATCCCGGTACATTAAATATAATGGACGATTTGTTGTGAATGAATTCCACTACTGAAATCACTTCTGGCTTCTCTGCACTTTTTATTAATGTGTACTCCTATAAAGGTCATATAGTTTTCAATCAAACGATCGAATCATGTTCTGAATCACGTGATTTCCACAAAGAACTTAAGCTATGTCAACCACGATTATTGTCTATTTTCAATACATTTTCTCGATTTGTTTTCACTATTCACTAACCCAAAAACTCGTATTTCGTTCGTATTTGAGTTGCCTTTGGTTCTTATTTCGGCTACAGGCATTGACAAAACTCGAAAAAAAAACTCCAGAAAATTACTAGTTGTTACCAAATTTTTATTATACGCCACTTGGTAAATGTCAGCTTCCCATAAAAGTTAACTATTTTCTTCCCAAATTGGTTTTTAAAATTCTCGTCTCTAAATCAATCAAAAGTAAACTTCAGGGGATGTGTACGTATTTATCCAGAAACATATTCACACACGCAAAATCGAAGTACAGTGGCACAGATGCATTCACTCATTGCATTTTCCTAAGCCTTGGACTGAAACTTTATTTCAAATCTTTTATTTATCGAATTCGTCCCTTTTTTAAAACCATACTTTCCAATTCACTTGATATTGTTTTATTTGAATCTTCCCATTGATGTTTTAGGACTGAAGTTGATCAGTCTCTTATTGACATATGTGCATACTGTGCGTATGCCTCGATATTGCCTTTCCAATGTTTAATATTTTTCGTTATCATCGGCATAACTACCAGTTTCGTCTCGTTTGGTATGGGAGACTTGAGTTAAAGCCAGTCTAGAGACTGATGGCAACTCAAATCCGAACGAAATACGAGTTTTTGGGTTAGTGAATAGTGAAAACAAATCGAGAAAATGTATTGAAAATAGACAATAGTCGTGGTTGACATAGCTTGAGTTCTTTGTGGAAATCACGTGATTCAGAACATGATTCGATCGTTTGATTGAAAACTATATGACCTTTATAGGAGTACACATTAATAAAAAGTGCAGAGAAGCCAGAAGTGATTTCAGTAGTGGAATTCATTCATAAAAAATCGTCCAGTCTAGTCTTTATGTCGATTGTGATTGACTGAGGCACGAACGAAGTTCAAAAAGGGCTTTATAAACAGATACAAATTTCCGTTAATCATCTTTAGGAGTAGCTGACATATACATTTATTTTCATACATCACCGAGTTACCATTGTCTTATGTGATACTTATGCGGACACCTACGTAATATGTATCAGCAATTGGCAGCAGGATTATTACTAACAGAAGAGGAAAGTGAGAAGAGTAAGAAAAACAGAAGCAGTTGGAGAAGCAACAGGAATGGATGAACGATGGTGTGTAAGAGACAATTCAAGGAAGATGTCTAAATGGTGTGTTAAATGTATTATTTTCATACTTTACAAATACAAAGTTGGTTTCCTCTAATCAAATCTTCGTTCATTACACCACCAGTAGTCACCAAGCTTATTATTGTGAATGGGGGTTTTATTATGCAATCGAGTGGTTGCTATGCGTTCAAGGTTGTCTGAAATCAAATGTCTAATATCATTAAGATTGTGTCTATAAAACATGACCTTTATATATAGATCTAGTTCATATTTTTTAGATCAAGGAGTTTATTCTTCCATTTGAAACTGTAGTTTTGAATGTTTAAATGTACGGTTTGTAGAACTAAATCAAAAAGGGGGTGATATGTAGCAAACTCGCTATCTCAACACAAATACTATGTAAATGTTGAGGAAATTGTTGGGGTGATGGAATAGCAACAATAACCAATAAATATGGATAGAGTTGGTAAGAAAATAGAATTCTATTTGGACTAAAGTGAGCAGGTAACTGGCAGTTCTAAGATCCCTCCATATTAGGTATGATTTATGAGCGTCTTGCCAATGTATGAATAGAAAACATCCACAAAACGAGCAAAAAAGATTAGAATGATATATCAGAGAAGACTTTATAAATTAGTAAATGGTAAAAATACACGCAGCAAAAAGTGCAACTGACGAATCGAGATTCTTGAAAATGAATTTAACTTGTTAAAATTCCAGTAAACATAACAGACAGAAACAATAGGTTGTATTTTTAAATCATTTCCTAAGAGTTCGTAAGAGCTTTCACTGGAAGCATATTAAAAAGTAAGATTGTCAGTGGTAACAATCTCAAAGATAAATAGAAATAACTCGAAGTTAGCAATAATAATGTATCGATTCAAGTTCACATATAGGATAGTATATAAAAACTAACAAGAAAATAGGTGTGATTTCGTAAAAATCTTTCTCATCTCCCACGAATTCCTATTAATAATCAATGGTCACCATAATAATCTCCATCAACAATTTGAGAGGATAATTCCACTGGAGTAACCATATTCTGAGTTGTAGAATAAGATTGTAACTTGCAAAAAATAACCAGGATAGGGATTTAACGTACCTGTATATTTGTGCGACAAAATTGTACAGCATTCAAGTTTCCTTTGCTGATCTCATATAATATAAACTCTAATATACGGTTATTTTCATCACTCAGAAGAAACCCATCCAAAACCCTGAAAAAGCAAAATTAAAAATCATTACAAGACATATCTACAGGAAGTAAATTGATTTTGTTTAAGTTCAATGTATACTGTATAGTGTAAAACAAACTTGTAACACTGTGGGTAACGCCTAAACAAATTTTTAAGACGAAATTCACTTATAATAAGTTCAGAAAATCTTTGGAATCCAACCTGTTTATGACTGGGTTGTAAAAAATACCGTCTTACGACGTAAGAATACTGAGATTTTACAGTATATGATAATTCTCATTAGGTATATCCTTAGTCGGCACCGACCACATACATACTACATAAAAAAGGTACAATTGTTCTATATAAATGCATTACAAACGTTGCTTTCCTTAGGGTAGTCCTAGAACTCTTTAGAAGAAAAAATCCTCAAGTCACCTACCTTATATAATCTTTGAAATGCTGTGCATGCAACGCTTTTATATGGTTTAACTTGAAACCATAGTTATATCACTGAAAAATACTCTCTCACTATTATAACGGGATAAATATCGAGAAAGTCGCGATCTGCGAAACAATCTTATGAAGAAATACATCTTAATTGTATAACATCTGGATTATTGGATCATTGTGTGTTCTTAATTGTACGCATTTGTTCGGTGTATAAACTATTGTTGTCTATTTTAACTTTCTCAAGTTACCGTCAATTAATCCTGAACCTTACACTTAGCTTCCCATCCACAATACTACTGCTCCCATTAAAACGGCCTGGTTTCACGGACTCCAATACAATACAAGAACCTGGTATTTCTGAAGATGTAACAGTTAACTGCTAGTAGAGCTGATTTGTTCGTTTAGTTACTCAACTTTCAATACTTCGGTTACAGGTTTGGACATTCATTTGACCTATCATGAGGTAGTGTCATTACATTAAACACGATAGACAACTTGTGAACTCACATGGGGTTACCAGTTTCACAAGGATAGATAGTCAAAGTGTTAATATGAGAGTGTAATATGCTCGCAGTAAGAAGATTGTAGACGTCTACCTCATGATAGATTACTTCGGAGAAAGAACATATAACGCCAATTATTTACAGGCTACCATTTTCGGTCCCAAGTACGGACATTGCATGAGAATATAAGAGTGTTTTAACTTAAAGAGTAGTTCTCAGTCAGTCAGCTACAACACAGGACCAGGCAAATATATGCATCGGTTCAAGTTGCCACACCGCATTAGCACAACAAGATGAACACCGGATTCATAAAAGTAGTTAATTCAGAGGTGGTAATATATTAAAAAAAAGATTGCAATAAGGATACAGTACAGGAAGAAAGAATTAGTTCGCAGAAAGAAAGATATGAAGCAATTTTAATATCACAGTTTAAGGGAACACAAAGAGTGTATACACCTACACCATTGTGATAGATTCTGAGCCATGTCACCAAGAGTCTCCAACCATTGGTTACGATAGTTGCGCGGACCCCAACCAAGTAGTCTGCATCTACCAACATGGCTGAGATCAGAAGTTAGTGACCCCAAGCACTGATGCCACGTTTTGGTTTGGCCGCCCCTAATTCTCTTCCAACCATCTCCAATACCGGTTAGCATTGCACGTCGTGGTAATCGGTGTTCAGGAATACGTAACACGTGGTCCAACCATCTCAGTCGATGAAGATTAACAACCTCATCAACTGATTTACCATCATTCCCTAATACCCTGAGTCTAACCTCACTATTACTTACCCAGTGATCCCAACAGACGCCAGCAATATTTCTAAGGCATCTGTGGTCAAATACTAGTAGCTTACGAGTATCTTCAACTCTTAATGACCACGTTTCGCAGCAGTAAAGTAAAACAGAACGAACTGCCACGCAGTATACCCGTCCTTTTATTGATGGACGGATATCTCGCATTCGTCATAGGTGATGTAAGTTGGCAAAAGCCAAACGAGCTTTTCGAATCCGTGCTGAGATTTCGTCAGACACCAACCCATTGGGGCTGATTAGACTTCCAAGATAAGTTAATATATCTGGTATAGTATCTGAACACTGAAAGCTCCAACATTTAGTTAAGAGTATGGTTTCATGAAACAAAGGATAACACTTCGTGGACTCGGATCTTAGCATTGGTGGAATACTGTGACAGCCATACGAGGAGGGCTAATCGTGGAGGCAGGCGAAGCACTAAGAGGTGAGAGAAGGATTGGACCATGAACAAAATAGTCTCTGATGCTGTTAGAGGTATGGAGATGGTTGTCACTTCCCGATTCTTTACACTGTAGAAGGATATATTTTCTTCGTGGACTTAAAAAAGAAACTGTGCTAGGGATGGTCATGAATAACCTGGGGGCGTAACCCCAGAGCCAAAATAATAACTGATTGACTCAGGTTACACATGGACTTTATACCGGAAGTTTTAAATGTGTTAGTTACATATTTAAAAGACCTTGCTGTCTCAGACGAAAATTCGTGGGTGTACTATTTCTCGAGCGGACCTATTCTAACGCCTTCCGTTGTATGAACGCAGCAATGTTGTAGATGCTATCTGAGGAAAACACCTTACTGCTGTTACATCCCTGTCTAGTAATCAATAAGATTTCGCCATAAGACAGTGAGTTGCTACTTCTGGAATAACGTTTTGCCAACCGACCTGTCTGGCATGGTAGAACTCAAAAGAATGTGTTTTAGCTAAAATAACTTGATTAAGTCATCCCAATAGGCAAGCCTGACGACCATGTTAAGGTGATAGCTGCAGTCAAGACATTTTTCTGACTGAACCATTTCGTCTTGACTACAATTCCTTTCGTTCTTTTATTACTTCACAACTATGTTTCCCTATTGTGTGGCCTATTTATTTTAGTGCCCATCTGTTTCAGAATGTACGTGTATGAAACACACAATATAGTATCAAGACGTAACTCAGCTCCAAGTTTAGAGGTTAAGCGTTCACTGATAACTTATTGTAAAGGTAAGGACGCCAAAATGCAGATAAAGCATAATACTTTTAAAATAAAACGGATTTTACGAAAGTTCACTTACCTACTAAATGATCTCAACCCAACATCATCTTTCAAACACTGGAATATATGGAATGCCACCTGAACAAATAAGCGATAAAAGTAGAAAAACTAACCCGCCATATCCAGGTCGATGACATTGGATATGCATGGATTGAGTGAGCTAGTAATCTAGCAGCCTCTTTAAACTTGTGCCTCGACAAAAAGTACCACATAGCACAAATAACACGAGCTTTCTCGGAATATAGCAGTCTAAAATCCTCTGAAACGAGACGGTGGAAAGTGAACACATATGAGGATAAATTTTACTGCAAAACAGAAGTCAAACGAAGCATTAGTCGAGGCTATATCAGAATCTAAAAAGTGAACACAAGACTCATATTTGCATATCTATTAGATGACCTCATAAAAGTATCGACAGGATGAAGTTAAAAACGAGTGTAACGAAATGAATGCATGCGGTTTTAATGATTATGAAATAAAGCTACAAGTCGGAAATAATAATCAAATCCCATATGGTCTATTGGGCACCACTACGAGGAATCACTGACCGATGAACTGATAATTTAAATTTACTTAATCCATAATTGACACCTTTTAGAAAACTGTGGTCATGTGTAAATTTATATTGAACCAAAACTTCTAGGAACTTACCAGCTGTGTTCAGAGTGCAATAAGATTCCTTTCCCAGCCAACCGTCATAAAATCCATCTCTGCCGAGATTTAAAATAAACTGGCAGAATCGACGAAGTCTTAAGAAGTAAAGTTTGTTTCGACCATAAGAGTGGCGACGATCAAGCATGGTTCCACTTGAACTACTGGATAAATGAAGGAATTAAAATTATTAGGCTACTGGGTATTTCGTTTTTTTTTCACGTGAGGTTACAACATTGACACCTAAGGAAAACAAATCCAATACAATAAACGAAGTCGAACAACAAAGAAAGATATAAAGCGACTTAGTAATTCCTACTGATTCTAAAAAATGGCGTAGTTTAGAAATCCTAAAGTTAGGAATCTCAATCAGGTAGTTATTTTCCTCAAAATCTATTGAAACCGACAATGAAGTTTCAGTTTCAGTTTGGGAAGGACAAGAGGCTCGATGGCCTATGTTAGTCCTGGCAATGGTGGTCTCTCAGTTGATCCAACTTTCTTTTGAAAGAGTCGATGGATGGAGCCTCAAACACGTGCTGAAATAGTGAATTCCACTCGTTGATGATTCGATGGGAAAGTCGATAGTCAACTGACAAGTAATTTGTTCTCGGCTTATGAACTTTTTTGGAAGACAAGAAAAATGAGGGCATACTAGGTGCAAATTTATCACTAAGCAATTTGTACTGAAATCAAGTCGCCTCTAGTTCTGCGATATGACAACGGGAAAAGGTTCAGCTTGGCCAGTCGAGATTCATACGGAAGCTTCGCGGCGAGACTCTAATTTAGGGACGAGCCAATCAGAAGTGTATGAGCGATTTCAGGGTCATGGAGCCAAGTTCAACCCTCGATGATGACATACGATCGGTTTACATCGGATTTTAGAGAGTAGGTGATTAATGAGAGGTTACAACAGATGGGACGGCGAGACTCTAATTTAGGGACGAGCCAATCAGAAGCGTTTGAGCAATTTCAATTATTAGCCAATCAGAAGACAATATAAAGTGAAAATATATTACAAGAAAGTAATGAATTACAGTAGATATTCTTCTTTTACCTGATTTAAAAACTTGTTAAGGTTTGATAAAGGCTCAAAAGTTCTGAATTCATAATGCATATGGTATAGAAACTCATCAATAGGGTTAGGGTTAGGGTTTAGGGTTAGAGACTAGGGTTTGGGTTAGGTTTAAGGTTAGGGTTAGTTTAGGGTTTAGGTTAGGGGTAGGTTTAAGATTAGGGTTAGGTTAGGTTTTAGGGTTAGGTTTAAGATTAGGGTTAGGTTAGGGCTAAGGTTTAGGGTTTAGGTTAGGTTACGGTTTAGGGTTAGGGTGCTAACATGCGATCGGTTTACATCGGATTTTATAGAAGAGGTGTTTATTGAAATGCTACAGCCCTAACCTAAACCCTAATCCTATGGACGAGTTTCTATACCATATGCATTATGAATTCAGAACAACTGAACCTTTATCAAACCTTAACAAATTTTTAAATCATGTAAAAGAAGAATATCCACTGTAATTCATTACTTACAATATATTTTTTACTTTATAGTTACTGACTCCTGATTGGCTAATAATTGTCAAAGTCATTTAAGATTCGTTCAAAGGTCGTCCTTGAATTAGAGTCTCGCCACTTCAGTATAGTACACGCCCATGGACTTGCATCCTATATGATCGTTTAATTTTTCACCACGATCCTGAGCACGACGGGTCTTACTTACTAAAGCCTTGAAACCTAAATAATTGATATATATACTCAAGAATAATAATGTTAGGGGTGTGTAGTCTCCAAATAAAGCTTATAGAAAAGGAAATCAATACCGACTAAAAGTGAATTTAGGATTCTTAGCAATAAAATGTAAATATGCATAGACCAGAACCGAACATGAAACAAAACCAAGGTTGGAACAGGTATAAAACAATATACTTAAATCTGGCTCTCAATTTCGTCATTCATCACAAAACTGACCGACCAACGGAGAATTTGGTTTTCAAACATGTACGTGCGCTATAAGCTGAATAGTTTTGAGCTGGTAGAGAAAGCTCTAAAGCGTACAATCACGTATCCCAGTCATTCTTAATGTATGAGTGGATTTTGATTAGTCAAATAAATGTTTTAAGATTTATCATAAACTGGGAAGCGTTGTTACACAGTGACTACCACATTGACACAGAAAACGAAGCCCACAGTAGCATGTTAGTAACCACCACTATTGGAAAAATAAAAAGACCTAATACTGAAAAGTTGGGCTCGCACACGTAAACTGCTTACACACACACTCGTGTCAAAGTAAATTAAAAAACGATACGGCAAGAACCTTGCGAAATATAAAAGTTAAGGTGATAAATTTCTTTATTTGACGCAGATTGCTTATCATAACTTTAAGTGCGAAAATGAACGTGATACTAGATTTACGACGCTCTGTAACTTCTTGTAGGTTACTTCTCTAAAAAACATATAACTTAAATGAACAGAACCTACCCAACAACTGTAACGTACACACTCAAACTTTCGACTTTTTGCAATGTGAAGGTTATTTATCCTCTGAATCGGTTATTTAAACAGAGTCATGTAAGAACAACTAACAAAAGAACCAATAGTAAATGACTTCCAGGCCACGATAAATCACGCTAAGGAAGGCTGTTTTTATCTTTGGAATGACTTATAGGATTCTAGTTTGTCCTAACCATACTAATAGTACCACTTTTCTTGTCTGAAAGCTCAGTAAAATGGTAGAATTTCTGTCTGAAGATTGAATTCGCTAACACTTATCGGGGACGGAAACGTTAAATAAATGACATCTCTCACATAGAACCGAAAAGCGACGGTAGTAGGTTTTCGACGTCACAACAACAAATATGTTCATAATAAACACTTTGTGATGACTTCTTGGATTTTCGAAGCACAACAGAAATTACTTTATTTTTAAAGAAAATAGATAGATGACCTATTTTTCGGTTCCCAATCAAACCTCTATATGTGTGCAATCTTTTCAATGAGTCGGTTGAAGATATCACTTCTAGGAGTAAGTGCCAAATTTGATTATGTAGCAATAAATTATTCCCATCAATAATAGTTCTGCAAGCATTTGACATCGATGCTGACCTTATCATTTTTGCTGGACACAACCTAGCTGAAGCTGCTCGATTACACATCTGCACCAGGTCGCAAGTCGTCACGCTGTGCTACCCATCGCTTGTAACCACTAGGCAGTCTAAACCAAATGCTTCTCAACTTATCGACAACCTTCTAAATCTTCGAAACTATTTGTCTATGTTTAATGACTTGACTGTCTTGACATCATTCAAATGTAAGGGTGGTGTTAACGATGGCGCTGTCAACTTCTGAATATCTATGGTCCTTTTAACTACTTACCTCTGTCTGTTACCTCTAGAGGTGCATCAGCTGCTGACCATGGCTCTCCAAATAGCCCTCTTTTGGGTTTGTCTTTCGTGTTATAACCAGGTTCTGTGAACACTTTTAGATCCTAAATGTTCCCTGACTTCATATTTTTTGTACTCTCACTCCTCTGTTTTCACTGTGAAGAGCACGAGTTAGCGCTTGGATTTTTCGGTAGTGTATAGCTTCCAAATTAGAGCAGTTTGGAATTCGGAATAACTGGTTAAATGCGCGCAGTTTCACAGTCAATACTGAAAAAACCTTCTGAATTGTGTTATAAATTTATATGTACACTATTACTTGAACAAAGATTACCATCTAGTTATTCAATCAGCAATAGCTTGATCAGTAGTTAAATCTAAATTGTGCTAAGTAGATGAAGTGATGTAGGATACAAGAGAACTACTAAGGAAAACAAGTAGATGTTCCTATCAACACTTTCACATTGCTCAATAGCTAATAATTAAATTTGTTAGAACACGGAGCGTTTCCATTTCTGGTGGAGTGCTTCAATTCATTAAAAATGCATTTAAAAACGAGAGCGAATCAATATCGCGGTAGCTCTAATCAAATACCAACTGAGACAATTTACATGTAGTTCGGGAAGAACATGGAAATTTAAGGAAGACGTAGGAAAGCAAAAACTAGAACACAACACAAATAGTGCAGAATGTTCATCTGAAGGAATCAAGAACAATAAATCATTTTGGTGGAGTTTTGTTCTCTGAGCTGGATGGTTTAGTCCTGAAGTTTTCAGTGTTCTTCTGAACGAAATCATCAGAAAAGACATTTTAAAAAAAATAATAGACGTTTCACTTAATTGGTAAGATTTAAGAAGATGAAATCAAAAGAATAAAAAGAGAAACAGAGATGACAAGAGGGGTATGAAGTGGTTACTTGTATGTGGTAGTAATAAACGTCGTAAATTTTGAGACGTGCAACGGATATGGCAATAAGTGGGTGAATGCGTGTATCAAATATCATGTTCTCGAGATGGTTTCGGAACTAAGATAAAAATGGGTAGGTCAAACCTATCTTTGCAACGTTCGCTACGAGAAATGCATGAGGCACCTTATCAAAGGCTTTTGTGAAACTGAGAGATATTTAATGAACTGGTAACTTAATTCCATAGCAGGTCGTCCAGCTTTCCCATGCTATGTGGAGTTTCGACGCACGTGATTTACCTTTCCTGAACGTATGTTGGGCCTCATAGAGGATGCATGTTTTGTCTATGTTGTCTCTCATTTGTTCATTGACCAGTCATTTTATTATCTTTGACAGTATTGACAGTAACGCAACTTGTCTGTAACACTGGTCTTTATCTACCTGAAGAGAAAGTGGCTGATTCCATTCACTTGGGAGTTGGTGTGAACTTAGTGAGTACCTGAGCAAATGAAATACTGCGGCTTCTGAGCATTGTTTAAGGTTTATTGGTAAGACTTTAACGTCCTTATAATTTGTCTGAGTTCAGCGATCTTGATTTTTTTAATACTAGCATGAAAGTTAATTGGATATCTCCTTAGCTGGTACTAGAGTTGAGAAGTGTTTCTCTCTTCCAGACTTCTGATTTAGTTAGTCTACGAAGTGGGCATGGAAAATTACTTCTATCTCTAAGTTAATGAGATCATTACCTTAAAACTGTGATCGGATTCTCTTAAGGAGACCTTCCATTTGTTCCGGGTTTTCCGTTAGACCCGTAACTAGCGTTCTGTGACCCTCTTTATCACCGCTCCCAGGGTGTATCCTTTACTTAAGGTACGTTGTGTTGGTTAGAATTCTAAAAGACATCTCTCACTATCATAGACTGATCATCCATTGTTAGCCTTCACCGCCCTCATGACCATTAGGGTTGTTGGAGATCTTTCCTTATGGTCGTGCAGCCTGCTTTAGTATAGTTAAAATAGGAAGTGTTTCCACTTCTCCCAGGTATCTCGTTCGTGACCACATTAAACACGACTGTAAAATAGACAATACATCCTGTTAGTGAGCGGACATGGAAATTCACTGCCAGAAGCTGATGATTTGACGTGAATAATATACGTTTGAGATTTTCCTGCCCTTATGACATATCGTGGCACTATCCACGTGTTCAGTCAGTTCTGAACTTCAAACATTTATGGCAAACCGGTTATGGAACCACTCATAGGTGTTGTGTCGCGCTTGCAGATATTGAAGGTTTGATTGTTGATTTCTTCAGTTGGTAGAATTTGGTTGAACCTCAGGTATAATGGGTTTATTATCGCTTGTATTATTTAATCGTTTTGGATGCTAGAACATGCTAGAGGCCAGTTTATTCCTTCAACCAAGTATTTTGTGATGTTCACAGTTGAGCGACACATAAGAATGATTTTATCGCCTCAGTTAATTCGATAATATGTTTTTTTGAGGCTTTGAAGTGGCTGCCAGGGTACATCGCCTTGCAAGCTCATTTCATACACGATGTCGAGCGACAGCAATGTTACAATTGGAGCCATGATCTTTGGATCTAAGTTAAGGCACATGTTTGTGATTTCTGCTAGTTGCCCCCAGTCCTCTTGGGTTGCCATGATGAACTTAACGGTTTATTTCATCACTTGACGCTCCTATACAATACTTCATTCTAGTGGTTTTAAAGAACTTTTTGTTTTTGAAAGTTTGCTGACCAGTTCCGTGCAAACTTAACTCTGCAACGTTCTTGTTAGTATAGTATGTACCACTAATGAGACAATGATCTCCGCGTTCTGTACACTAGTTTGTTGATCAAGGTCAACATGCACCATGCTTTATTGGGCGATTAGCTGCTGACTTACTAATCTCAATCGACTTTCATAACAATTGACTTGACTAAGGACATGGTTTTTCGGGCTGTACCCGGCTTGAATGGCCTCAGTAAAGTCCTATCCGTTTCTGTAGTTTACAGCTATCAGACGTGAAGACTCAGCCATTGTGAGGTGTAACAGAAGAGGACGCCTGAATTATCATAGCTGTGTGAGGGTCAATGCTGTTTGATAACCAACGTCACTGTTGCACATTGCGCTGACGAGCTTCATCCTGACTAACTTGTGCACCTGTGAACCAACACGCTGGTCGGTTCTTGAGTGTTTGTTGATATTTTAGGGACATCACTCATGGCTTACTGTTTTCCGTTTCTAATGTGGACTTGGAAAGATTGCTTACCGACGATCACTGTGATGTCAGTAAAATTTCTTCTGTAGTATATGTTGAATCTAGTTAATCCCTATAGAAGGGGTTTATCTTTTTCTTCGTTTCGGCTCTCATACAGGTAGTATAGGTTGGCTGAAGTGATGTTTCTGTGAGACTATAATTTATGGACGACCTTTGAGCGACGCTAGACCAACCTTGATAGTGTCCACCTACTTACTAGGGTTAAATGAGGGTTATAAAGCAGTTTGAAGAATAAGGATTATGATTTAAAGTTGATGGTTAAGGTTAAGAATTATATTTAGGGTTTTCATCACGAACTGACATCAGCTATGACATCAGTTATAATGCCAAAACTCTATTTAAAGAAATGGATGAAAGACTTTTGCGCCAAAATACGAGATCTGTTACCTTATACCTTATTGGTTTGTTACAAGTTATAGCCTAGACATTTTACTTGTTATAGGCGCCCAATTGTCACGTTTTGAATAAAATCACCTGTGAACCGAATGTACGTTAGCATTAAATACTGAATGAGGTGCTGTGACCTTGAAATGCCTCAAACGCTTCTGATGGGCTCGCCCATAAATTATAGTCTCGCTTATGAGACGTGGGATTTTGAGGTTAACACTTTACACAATTATAATGGCTCGGTTACCATTAAAACAAAGGGGCTCCCCACCATTCTCCGCTAACTTATTAACTGTTTCTCTTAAAATAAAAA